TTATATTTATTTCCCTTATCTACCCACATTTTATTCATAAAAAACTCCTTCAAGAACACGTTACTTTCATCTAACTCTCCATCCCTACCAAAGTACTCATCCAACTTATTGACGAAGGCCTGGTTATCACCATCATCAAACTTTTGATGATTTGCTTTTAATGTCAAGAAATCACTTTGGTCATTATCCTCAGCCACCTCTGCTGCATCAAGAAATGCCTTCCTCAACTCCTCCTGCTCCTCATCATAAGTCTTTTTCCTCTCCTCTTTTCCATTCAGATGTTCTTCCTCATCCTTAAATTCAGGTCCCTCTTCAATTAAATGCTTGGCTACCACATCTTTCAAATACATGGCCTTCTTTTTGCCCTTTTCTCTTTTTGCGTCATCTTCCTCATTTTCGCTCTCACCCTCGCTCTCATCAGATTCGAATAGCTTGATGTCTTTCTTCTTAAGGGATGGGTCTTGGTTCCGGACCTTGATCAAAGCGCTGAAGAACTCCAAGTCTTTCTGCTTCGACATGATGGTCCTGTTGTTGTCTTCTTCAGACTCTGACTCCTCAGATTCATCATCAGATTCTTCAGATTCTTCAATGAGGCCTTTCTTCTTGAGCTCTTCATACCGCTGAAGATCCTCGCGCTTCTTGTTGTGCTCAAACTTGCAAGCATACTCCTTGTCTATTTCAATCTTTGATATATCTTCATTTTGCCCATCATCATCATCAAACAGCTTCATGGATATTTTTTTGCTTTGCCCCACAGAACGAATTAAAGTTTTCGCAGTTTTATACCTGTAAAATTTCAAGTAGAAGTACAATAGAAGCAAAAGAATAGATAAATAAATATTGTATTAATTCCATGTCTAATTTAAATTAGATAGATTTCTGTGACTCCTACTTGATAAGTAAAATAGAAATCTATCCTATCGACTTCAAAATGAGTGATCTTCATTCATTGGTGAATCAAATAGAAATTGTGGTTAAATCCTACATTTGAGTAATTAATTAAGGTCTAGGAGTAGATTGGCAGTAGAACATGAATTAACAAAGTAATACATAACAACTACACATGTTTCTCCCCTAACAGTCACTTAAAAGCATGGTTGCTGACAGAAACTTGACAGGTTTAGCTTCTGCTTGTTGATGAAATAAAACGAACTTCCAAGTCTCTCCATTAATACAGGTGCTGAGGTTACTCAAGACCTTTCCCTGCCTAAATATAGTTCTATAAAATTGAATACAAGGAGGAACCTGAGCCAATAAATTAAGCTTAATGATCTTCAACTTAACGATAAAGTTGGATTTCAAAAAACAATTAAAGATAAAGTTAAAACACTAATTGGTCAACATGTTAATTGTTTTCCGACCACATGGATTTCATACTCCTAAAAAAATTATATCTTTCTTTTATGTTTGCTACTGAAGGAAATGACCAAGCATAGGGTTCATTAAATTCTCATGGGAAAGCTCAAAGATCAATGTTTTACATAATTTGCTACTCGAAATTCATGGACAAGTTTTCACCAACCAGGGGAGAATAATGCAACATGAATTCGCTATAAATTGCTACATAGATTAACACTCATGATATGAAAGATAATGCTACTATACATTCACGAATTTATTATAGCAACTTTAGGATTTTATTCTAATACTTAATTTTTCTATTTAGTAGTATTATTTACTAACCTTCTTCATAATCTCATTTTTTAAACAGAATTTAGTTAGTCAATAAGATAATTTCATCATTTCTCAATTTTCTGGCTTTTCAATGCAATCAACTACGCCCACCTAATGCTTTAGACTTAGATGTGATGTTTAAAAAACCTACTTACGATGTCACAGTTTTTACTGTCAAATTCCTAGGCAGGTAAAATATACTAGCTGACAGTTTGATTATGTTGAAGGTTTTACACTAAAATAAGACGGAAACCTAAGAAACTCAAAGAAGCAAAGCAAATGTAGACATTCTATTAACATTTCATTCAAGCAAAACAAAAAATCAAGAACTAAAGCCAGAATCACAGTTCAAAAAGAAATTTTCCTATAAGGTTTCATCAACCTTTAGCAATAATATAGCATTGAACATGAATGGCAAGCTGAGAAGCAAATCAAGGAAGAGAAAAAATAATAGAAAGAGAGCTAAATAACCGGTCTTCCTATGTCATGAGTATCAAACGCAAAGCTTAAATTCATTTTTTCTCACAAGTTCAAGTACGGAAGAAAAACAAAAGGTAGACAAACGGAGATCAAGTCTTACCCTACGAGCTCCAAAAGCCAGAGACTCCCACTCTCATTTCCTTCTTTCTGGCTATTCTCCCCTATTAAGCATTCAAAACCTCTTCCCGTTTTAGATACCCTTCCAGAAGTCTCCCTTCTCGTCCCGACACGCGAAGTTGCTTTTTCCGTTGACGCCTGGCTTCAAACACCTCTCTTGCTCGCACTGCCTCTGTTCTTGTCGCCTTCGCTTTTTGTCCCAAATACCAGCAGCTCTGTTTCTCTCACTCTTCGATTTCTTATTTAAGAAAGCGCTGCCCTTTCATCCTCTTGTTTTGTCTGCCTCTATAACCCAACCCTAAGGGCCTCCATCGTCGATCAGGAAACAAGAAGCTTTAAACGACGCCGTTTTGAGAGGGGTGTCGGGACTGGGCTCGCTGTCATCTGGACCAGACTTGGGCTTGCCTTGTCTAGGCCTATATATGGGCTTAAACGCACCGTATTGAGTTTGGGTTGGGTTGGGTTTAGAAGAGGTTTGAGTGGAAATGGACACGTGCATTTTATTTTAAATGAATTAAGATTTGGAAATTAAATTGAGCTCTACTTTGTAAAACGACGTCATTTCAATCCATGATTATTTGCGTGGCAAGTGAACCAGTTTTGGCCTTTAAAATCAACGGCCAGGATTTAATCTCAAGCAATCAAACAAAAGTACATCACTCGTGCCCCTTTACAGATCATACAACCAAACAACTTTCTCTCTCTCTCTTCCTCTGTTCGGTTTTCTTCAAAATAAAATCCACATGTCCTGCTCAAGTTTCTAGAGAGGGAGAAATTTCAAGAGAGAGAAAGCAATGGCTGAAGAAGACGAAGATTACCAGGAGCTAAGCAATGAGCAGAAGAAAGAGATCGCCAAATGGTTCCTGCTCAACTCTCCCGCTGGTGAAATCAAATACGTTGCCAAAGGTCTCTCTCTCTCTTCCTGTATCTTATGTGTATATGTATGTACACACAGAAGATTTTGCATAAACGTATCTATGTTTGTTTGTGCTCGTGGAATGTGAACGTATACTATGGGAAATGTTGTGGTTTTTCAATGCTGTCTTTTAGGATCAATCAAATTTGATGCCGGTGTTGTGACGGAAACTTTGTTTTATTTTCTTCTTTCATTCTTTGCAGACTTAAAATCAGTTCTCAATGATGTGGATGTATATAATGAGGCAGCTATGGAGGCATTCCCTATTTACAACAAATCTCACATGATTTGCCTGGAAATGCCTTGTGGAGCAGGAGATGTAAGCTTTAATTTGGGGCTAATTTTTTGTTTTCGTCTTACACCGAATAGCTTATTGGCTATTAGGTTTTATCATCAATCTGTTTGAGCCTGAACTCACATCAGTTTTCAATAAATCTTTAGTGAGTTTTCATGATTAGCTGTTGCTATAGTTCGACAGGTTCTACTTTGCATCTTACTGCAGCTTTTTGGAGCCAATAGTCTAGAACGAGTAAAGACTTTTGATTGCAAACTACAGCTATTCAGAGTGTTACAAATTTTTTTTAGAAGAGATTGTTGCAATTTTTTTAGCAGTATAGTGGACTTTACTCATGGTTGTTTGATGCTTTTGATTTTCCATGCAACACGAAGCTATGTAGAGTTTCATATATGATTTTATTGTGTATGAGAGGATTAAAACTCTATTATCAAAATTTAATCCCTAATTTCAATTTATGCTATTAACATTTATGCCTCAAATACACAACCATTAGAGTTTTATTTTATGTTTTGTCAACTATATATATATATATCTATATATATCTTCAAATTATGTTTCAGGTGTTGATCACATCATATGGTGAAATAGATGAGAACGAGTATCTTGATCCAAGAAGTGCGCAGGTTGCCATAGTTGATCATATTAAACAGGTAACTTCTTGATTCTTCTGACTGGATTCTTCTGTGCATCTGCACATTGCAATAAACTCGAGGGTGGATGTTTCATGGCCACCCAGTCCATACTGAAATATTTTATCCTGATGCAGTGCATAGCACGATGTTGATAAAAGGTTTTGAATATCTGTATCATAATATTCCGAGTTGGTTCAGGTTTGTACAGACGTCAGGCATGCAACTGACGAGGAGCTGCCATCTGCATATGTTGAGGAATTTCGGTATGTTTTGTATCTCCAATTGAGATAATGTGTTTTATCTTGATATTTATGAATTTCTTTTGAAATTGTTCCTGCCAGTTTTCCTGTAAGAATTTAGTGTTATTTAATTCATTACTATGATGAGCCACAGCAAAAACCATTATGGACAAATTTCATATTGGAGTTAATAACCTGGAGGTAAAATGTGATTATGTGGAGTTATTTAGGGAATGGCTGCTGCAGACAATGATAATTTGCTCCATGATCCTATTTTTTGGCTCTCTCATATATCCATTCAAGGGAATAGCATGGAATCTTTGGATGTGGTTTTTATATTTCAAAAAGAAAAATTTAGATTCAGTTTTTTTCTCGTTCCCCTTTCTATTCTTTCGGTTGTGTAAAGAAAGGGACACTAGAACTTATGAGGGGGTACAAGTTAACTTCGATAGGGTTAGGAATAAATGGTTTCAAACTGTAGGCTTATTAATTATGGTCATTCTTTGCATACTACAGAAGATTTTGAAAATCTTATAGATATCTTGATTGAAGTGTAAATAATTGTGTACCAATATTGGCACCCCTTGGTGCTCGTAAATGATGCATACAATCCATTTATTTAAAAAAAAAATTAGATTCAGTTTTTTTTGGGTCAGCTGTTGTAAGCTTGAAGATGGTAATTCAATTTCCTGTTTGTTTACCCTATTATTAATTGGGGAACACAACTAATTAAATTGTTAAGATCAGCATATTGGAGAAGAGGGGTTTATATTTAGTAAAGATATATATAAGGTACTTTGAGAATTATTGCTGATGGCACACAAAGAATTATATACTCCTTGTGTTAATGGCATTGTCATTGCCATGACAGATATGCTTTAGATGCTGAAATTCTCAGATATGTTGGTGAAGCTTATCCAAAAGGCGTCTGTTCAGTCTACTGTGTTAATGCAAAAGATGTGGAAGGGCCAGGATCTGATTTTGAGCTTGTTGTGGTGATTTCTGCTACTAGACATAGCCCACGGAATTTTTGGTGTGTAAATTATCCCAATAATGTATAAAAATTGTTTTGCCATTGCTCCTTTCACATTATGCTACCAAGCTCCTGCATGGACACTATTGACTCTTGTCAACTAAAACTAGAACATGTCGATTACGAGTCATTCTACCTTCTTGTAATTCTTTTATTGTATTGTATAGCAACGGAAGCTGGCGATCAATATGGAACATTGAGTTCAGAGATGAATCACAAATACTGGAACTGAAAGGCAAATTGCAGGTAATGAATGTGGCACATGACAGTCAGCTAAGTTTCTCTTTCCTATTCTTTCGTGTTTTAAAAGAGCATAGGCATGCTAGTCTAAGCCCATGGTAAGTTTGTTTTCATCCTTTATTTGTTTCCATCCAGGTGGATGCCCATTATTTTGAAGAGGGAAATGTGCAGTTGGATGCAAAACACGAGTGCGGTGATTCTACAATTTTCCAGGTAATTACAGTGTGTGGGATTTTTTATATTTATCCCTTTCTTCTTCCTGACAAAAATCAATTTTGTTTTCTTCTGCTTAATATACAACTTTAGCAACCTATGATAGAAAATTAAATAAAAAGAAAATTGATAAACTAAATAATCAGTTCTAATCTAAACCCTTTTAAGGTAGAAGTCGAAAGAGTTGGCAGTTGTGACAGATCCTAGCGTTCTTGGCTTTTGTCTAATTTTCTTTCCTAGGAAATGGGAAACCATCAAAAGCAAAGCCACGGAAAATGACAAATAACCTTATCTATCAAGTTCAAATTCAGATCTGGTAGATAATGCTCTTGGCTTTCTCTCTCACCATTCATGGAGCAAAGTTGAAGTTAAACATGCTAATTCTTCTACAAATAAAAAGACATGAAACATTAGATATGAGAGGTAAATTATTGTCTTGTAAGTTTTACAAGAAAATATTCCATTGAAAAGATCTTTTTTGCTACTTAA